GATTATATAATAGAGTAGTCTTCTTGCCTTAGAATGAGATATTATCAGTGGCTAAAAAGTCCTATGAATTATCTTCATAGCAAAAAAAGATCAAAATATGTGACAAATATTTCATATTTTGGACTTCTTCAATATGTAATTACTATTTCTTATGGAATTCGTCTCTAGAAGGGAAGATAATATCATGGATGTATATATACTTCAATAATTATCTAGATATTATAAATAAATAAAAATATATAATTTTAATAATATCTTATATAAAAGCTTTATAAAAGCTTTATAGACATGGCTTCACCTTTATACATATTTTTAGGTGATGGATAGATTAAAAACTTGGCCATTAAATTAGCCACATGTTGCATATTGTTGTGAGGCGTGATTTACAATCCAGAAATATATGAGGTATCTAATTGTAGAGAATTTAGTTTTAACTTATTGGCTAAGTTCTAATAAGTGTTTTATTCCATCTTTAACTTATATTCAAAGTCTTGGCTTCCAAAACCTCTTCACTTTATATAAAATATCCAAATTGTAGCAAATTCCTTCAAAACATATTTTTCTTTTAGGGAATTTTTTCTTCTTGAACTTTAGAAATTCATATCTTTTGATCCAACTATTCAATTTCAAATTTTTATATAGTATAGTTATTATTCTTAAGTTTTACTAAAAAAAATGAACCGTAAAATCACCACGAATCTTTTGGCATCTTAGAAACCCTAGCAAGTGCTCTAAATTCTAACTTACAAGCATATGAGTACTATTTTCTTCATATCTCAAAAATCCAAAATTAAAATGCTACAAAATTTATGCAAAAATTTTATTAATATGATTATACATATTCTTAGAAATTTTGAGCCAAAATCTTGTCAAATTACTTAAGATATAGCTCAAAACACAACCACTAGTGAATCGGATCACTTACTACCTTTAGATTTGCAAGTGCTGATTTCAACCTCTAATATCTCTTTCAGTCCAACTTGGAATCTATCAAATAGTATGCCAAAAGTGTAGTTGAAAAATTGTTCTCTTCAATCCTAATTGCCAATCCTTTATTGCTTTCTGTACGCATGCATTATGTCCAAAAGTGTGACAATAGATACAAAATTAATACCTTAACTTTGAGCACCCATATCTCCTTCATATAAACTCCAAATCACACAAAATTTTCACCAAAACTATAGCCAAGAACCTAAAATTGTTAAATCTAGCCTCCAAAGCTCAAATGGCTTCGAAAAAATAACCCTAATTCCTACTAAGGCCTCGGGCAGCCTTCTTGAAGCCCATTGGATACGATTTTTGGCCAATATGAATGGAAATTCTCATCATTCATCTCCATTCATCCATATCAATGCCCTTACTTTCTTTTTTGCTTCCAAGACTCCTCTCCAATCCTTTCTCTAATAAGATTTAGATAATATACGTCCTAAACACCAAATAAAAGAACCAAAATATAACTTCAAGGTTCACCAATGTCTAATAAGGTGACTCTAAATATTTAAAAGCTACTACTAATAAGATCAACTTCAAAAGTCACTATCAAAAGAAAATAAAGTTATATAAATTCTAATAATAGTTCTTTTAAATGAATTCCTTTTAAGATAGTAATCTAACTCTATTCTACAACTAACTAAAATTTATTAACATGGTTCTTACCATGTTACTTATTAAATCATATATCAAACATACAAACACAATATTTTCACATGGTAGGCTAAACCACAACACAACAATGTATTGATAGCTTGTCATATAAGCTAATGATGTAACTTATATATATAAGAAACTTGCCTTATAAGATAAGATGTATATCTTGTAAATTAAATACATGTCAGAGGTCTTACAAAACATTATCACATAGCTTTTGAGTAGATAGTATATATTGAAGCAAAAGTGAAGCCTTCTACACTCTTGTTAATATTTTTTTAGTCTTTAATCTTATTTCAAGAATTTTTAATCTTCTTGACTTCAACAATAGCTATTCCAATTTTAATCTATATTAGTTTTGAGTGAATATATATTTTGTTTAAATTACACAAAAGTATATTGAGTTTTTGATACTTTGAGATTCATGTCTTTGTCACCATAAAATATTTTATTCACTAATAAAACTACTTGCACTTAGAGTACTTATTAATATGTTATTATTAAATAAAATTTAAGAATTCATATTTAAAATATTAAATAAATTAACAAAGTTAATTTTTCTATGAATAGTTTTTATTTTAAAGAATTATTAGTTGTAGAAGAAGTGGAACCTAAAGTTGGCATGTGATAGGATTATTTTGTAAAACTTAAAATAAAACCTAATAAATTAAAAATAAATCAAATCTAATTTTAATTATATGGAATTAGTCTTAATAAATTAAACTTTTGATTTACGTTTAGTTTATAAATAATAAAAAATATGATTAAAATTATCTTTTGTCAATAATTAATTTAAAAAATTAGTAGTAGTGAAAAATGATTTGTTTCAATAGTTAGGATTAAAATTGGAATAGTGTAATATGTTGAAAATATCATTATTAAATTTTGATTCTTATATTTAAAAGCTTTGTTTTATTTTGGAATATAAGAAATTATAAATTATCTTTGTATTTTACTATCAATATAAATATTATTAAATTGATTAAATACATATTTACCACCACTATGACTTTATAAAATCTATAATCAATGTCATATGTATTTTTCAACATAAGCTTTTTAATCCGTGAGTTTAGAAAATATTTGAAATATTAATTTTAACTAAATTAATCATTGTAAAAATGGCTAAAATTATTAATAAAAGTAATAAAATATTAGTAGCTAGTAAGTACAAAAATAATGGTTTATTTAAGATTAGTATGAATTAAATTATATAAATAAATAGCTTCGTTTTTTTTCTTTATTTATAATAGGACTTGGTAGTGTTTTTTCTTTGTAGCACTTCTTCAATAATTTTTTACTCTTTAAGATTAAATTCTAATAATAGATTTTAGTAAAGGCTCACTTGCACAATTATAACTTAGGATTATTAATAAGATTCTAATTCCTTAAAATTCCACAATCAATGCGTGATTAAATCTAAAAAATAATTTTACTTGTTTTCAATTCTATTATATTTTATTGAAAAAATTGAATTAAAGTCAATTACTAAGCTTTTAATTCCAATTAAATAGAGAATGATAAATATATCTATTGTATTTTTTTTATTTATATTTAAATAATTTATCTTTAAATTTATCTATCAAATACAACTAAATTACATAAATTGTAATCTTATGACTAATATTTTTATCTCTTTTAATATATATATATATATATATATATATATATTAATATTCATTGGAATTTTTTTATTACAATATTTTATTTTAATATTTTAATTAGAACTTTCTTGCACTATCTCTAATTTTAATAATATCATTGAGTTATTTGTATTTTTTCCTTTAAATTAATTATATTTTGTAGCTATTTTGTATACGTTTTTATTTTTTATGTGGTCCAATGTATATTATATAAACTTCTATATTAGTAGTAATATTGTAATAGATAAGTACTAAAAATCTCCTTCTACTAAATATTTCATAATCTTTTTGTTTTCTAAATTAATAAAAATATACTTTAAATATCCATTTATTTTTTGTGTTTTGAAGTAATTATGATTTCTTTTGAAATATTTATAAGATTTTAGGTTATACAATTTTAAAAGATTAGTAGTAGTACTATCTTAATTCAAGTGCAAAAAATATTTAAAAAATCATAATATACAATTACGTTTGGTTTGGATTTAAACATGACTATGGTTGCCAATATCAATGTACAAGTTTTACTATGCACTAATACTATTAATCATTAAAGTTGTAGGTGATAAAAAGTTTATTTATTTCTATTCTATGGATAAAAATATATATATTTTTATTATATATAGGACTAGGACTAAACACTAAAGAAGTAATCTTTTAGATTTTTAATTTCTTAAGTAGTCATCAATTGATCTTTAAAAAAGATCAATCTAATTCTTCTTGACTAACTCATTCTTAAAGTTTTGCCTCAAGATTCAAATACAACTCCTTATCAAGTGCGTTCATTCAATAAAGTAATAATCTTCTCTTGTATTAAGTTCTTACTTTTTTCTTTTGTGGATTATATTGTTTTTGAAACCAAATACATCAGCTAAAATAACTCACCTTACAATCTTTAACATATTACTAAAAACTTTAGTATAAATAGACAAACCATATTATTCTATATTTCAAAATATTCCAAAATAATTTTAAAATAAAATATTAAATATCATGTATATATCACATTTTTCTTAGTGTTGTAATTTTTTCAAAAGAGTTCCAAAAAAATACTTGAGTTTCTTACAAATATAATGTAAAATCTACAAAAAAAAGTTTATAAATAATAAAATTATGTCATTAAAAGATATGTATTCATCAACAAGGATTAAATTTTTAGTTCTATATTAGATGTTATAATTTTTTTAATAATTTAAGTCAATATTTACAAAGGTTTTATAAATTAGACAGTGTTTTTGGATGGAAATCCAGATACCTCTATAACATTTGGTTGTCTTTGTACTCATATTGGACTATAATTTTGAACAAGATATTATTATTTTTAAATATTCAAGGTTTTTTTTACTCTTGATGATCCTTCACAATACTTCGGGCCTCACAATTTAGGTACTCCCCAAATACTCTAGTTTCATTTTAATGATCTGACTGCTCTCATTGCCTGCCGAAGGTGCATAGTGACGCCCATAGGGTCTGTAACCGCGGGATCCGGTTCAAGACAGCAGAGTTCCCGCGGTCACCGATCAGCACAACGCCCCATGGGAAGGATCCAAATGGACACCAGCCTGGACACCCGAAGCCGCCACGAATCGGGGGGGGGGGGGTATGACCACATTAGGTCACTATTTTTTCCGCTTTTGAAGTCACCTTCAAAATCCTTTCCAACCGCGCTCGAAACCGCGTTTCTGAAATAGCACACCACGGTCCATGTCCGTTAGATAAGAAATCTGACGGTGGGCCTGTAAGAACCATTCCTTCAAGTAGCAGAATCGCACCTGAGCTTGCCCCTTTCGACCTGAGAGCTCTCGTGCGAGAGCCTGCACCGCCGCTGACGCTGTGTGCATTTCCGACTTCGATTAATCGTTTCATTTTGAGGTATGCTTCTGGACTTATGTTATGCGTTTCATTCTTGCCTTTTTAGGGTTTACAGTCAAGGCTTTCCGTCACACGGCCTGGTGTGACATTCCTTATACGCCTAAAAGTGGGGTTTGGGTTCATCTTTTAATCCAGTTGTTTAGTGACAAGCCTTGGTATAGTTTCACTTCACTGACTTTATTCAGCACTCAACAATGATTAGGGGTGTGGAGTGAGTTAACAAGTCAACTCTTTATCGATTCTACCCATGGTCTGGGTCTACAAAATGCTCAATGTGGAGCACGGAACAGAAAGACATTTAAATACTTATTACAGAATGCGTTTGTGTCATCTGCAGTTAGTTCAAGATGGGTAAGGAGAAGGTCCACATCAACATCGTGGTCATCGGCCATGTCGACTCCGGCAAGTCGACGACCACTGGGCACCTTATCTACAAGTTGGGAGGTATCGACAAGCGTGTGATCGAGCGTTTCGAGAAGGAGGCGGCGGAGATGAACAAGCGTTCGTTCAAGTACGCGTGGGTGCTGGACAAGCTGAAGGCAGAGCGCGAGCGTGGTATCACGATCGATATCGCGTTGTGGAAGTTCGAGACCGTGAAGTACTACTGCACTGTTATCGACGCGCCCGGACATCGCGATTTCATCAAGAACATGATCACGGGAACGTCGCAGGCGGACTGTGCCGTGCTGATCATCGACTCGACGACGGGAGGGTTCGAGGCCGGTATCTCGAAGGATGGGCAGACGCGTGAACACGCACTGCTGGCGTTCACTTTGGGAGTGAAGCAGATGATTTGCTGCTGCAACAAGGTGGGTTCGGGGGCATTTTGGTTGAGGTTGGGGGGTAGGGACATGGTATGGGAGCGGGGCGCGGTGGTGGCATTGGGTTGCGTTATGGACATGGCGTGGGTAATGTCGGGGGCAGACGAGTGGGGTAAGGGGTAGGGTTTTTTGCGTGCATTTTTGGGGGGCAGTGAGGTGGGCTGATGTTGGTGATGTGGAGGGTGGCAGATGGACGCGACGACCCCGAAGTACAGCAAGGCCCGATTTGAGGAGATCAGCAAGGAGGTGTCGGCGTACCTGAAGAAGGTGGGGTACAACCCGGACAAGATTCCGTTCGTGCCGATCTCAGGGTTCGAGGGTGACAACATGATCGAGAGGTCGACGAACCTGGACTGGTACAAGGGTCCGACTCTGTTGGAGGCGTTGGACAACGTGTCGGAGCCGAAGAGGCCATCTGACAAGCCTCTGAGGCTGCCGCTTCAGGACGTGTACAAGATTGGAGGCATTGGAACTGTGCCAGTGGGACGGGTGGAGACGGGAATCATCAGGCCGGGCATGTTGGTGTGCTTCGCACCGACGGGACTGACGACTGAGGTGAAGTCTGTGGAGATGCACCACGAGTCGATGCCCGAGGCACACCCGGGTGACAACGTTGGGTTCAACGTGAAGAATGTGGCGGTGAAGGACCTGAAGAGAGGGTACGTGGCCTCAGACTCGAAGAATGACCCTGCAAAGGAGGCAGCAAACTTTACGGCGCAGGTTATCATCATGAACCACCCGGGACAGATCGGTAACGGTTATGCGCCAGTGCTGGATTGCCACACGTCGCACATTGCGGTGAAGTTTGCGGAGATCTTGACGAAGGTGGACAGGCGATCGGGTAAGGAGCTGGAGAAGGAGCCGAAGTTTTTGAAGAACGGAGACGCAGGGTTCGTGAAGATGATTCCGACGAAGCCGATGACGGTGGAGACGTTCGCGGAGTACCCACCATTGGGACGGTTCGCGGTGCGGGACATGAGGCAGACGGTGGCTGTGGGTGTCATCAAGGCTGTGGAGAAGAAGGAGCCAACTGGTGCCAAGGTGACCAAGGCCGCCGCCAAGAAGAAGTGAGGGGTTGGGTTTTAGTCGGTGACATAATTTATTTGTTCGATGCCGCCTCTGGCGTCGGCACTTCTCGAGCTTGTTTATGCCGTTTTCTTTGGGTGGAATGGCAGCGCTGTTAATTGGTTATCTGCACTGCACTGCGTCTCGTTTTTTGTATCCAACTGTATCTTTATATTGTTTGCTTGTTGTCTGAACATGTTTTTGTTCGGTGCTCCTTGCGTGCTGGTGTGACAGTCTGAAATGTGTTCTGTCTAACCGTAATTCCATTTCTTAGTTACTTCTACCCCTCATTTGTCATGGCACTTAGATGTATGTTCAATATTATCAATGTTAAGTAGTTTTCATCTTAACAAGGAATATAAGAAATCAGGGTGAAGATGAAATAACAAGGTGCCCATCCGCGTCGTCTGTGCTGATTTTGAAGCACATATCTGTAATATCTGTTAGAACATGGTAGTACATTTCCAAAGGACATACCCTCGAGAAGTAGAACTTCGGCTTCACAATAGATAGGGAACGTAACTTGCGCTCTCTTGCACATCTAAATCTCGGTCAGAGTGCGTTTGGACAGTATTGTGGGAATGGTGATCAGTAATGTTGGAATCTGGCACTTATATCCTGTACGGCTTTGCTCGCAAATGATACGTCTTGTCGCTGCCAATAAGGGGATTCTGACTAAAGGTCTTCGTGAAACCAAATATCACAGATCATTCAGAACGTCACCTCCCGAAATATCACTGATATTTTGGTGATTTGGAAACGACATCCTGCTGTGTTGTATGGAGTCAAAGAAGGAAGAAATCTGAGGCAAGTTTCGCAGTTTTTGTTATTGCAGTTGCCCCTTTATTGATACTTCACGAGACTCTCTTTAAATAATTAATTGAATTGTCTTTTACCTTGATAGTGAGTGTTTTTTTTAATACCAAAAATGTTTCATTTTTATTTATATTTTACTTTTTATAAATTGCTATTATTAGTACAAGCTTAGAATTGCACATAATTTTTGAAGCATTGACAAACTATTGAAATATTCAAAAAATTTAAGTTTAGTTCCATTTATCTACCAAAGCTTGTAAGCTATAATGCACCTTAGTTGTTCTAGAAATTCTACATAAAGTATCAAACTTTGGTATATATATATATATATATATATATTGTTAAAATAAAAGAGCTTATGAAGTTTATGTCCTTTTAATTTTTTTATAGATAAATCTTCTTTTAGAATTAGTTACAGTATTTTTTAGATTTGCATTCTAGTTGAGGTAGTTTCGGTAAGGGTAAGTACCAATTGCATAATAATTGTAAATTGGATAATTTCAGAGGCTACATGACAATAATATTGCAAGATAGGTGATCCATTATTGATCCAATACACAATGGCAACATGCATTTTAGAGCTATTAGTCATATGTGACCTTCTAAAATCCATATCAATTCAATTTTAAATACATACATTTATACATAAATTTTTCTTACTAAAACATGTAAAAGTGCTTCTATCCACTATCTATTCTTTGAACAAAGTATTTTTTTGAAAACAATATGATTTTTTGAAATAATTTCTTTGATACTAGTTTTTTAACTACCTACTTCTAGAAAACAATTTCATTGAAAGTACTATGCACATCTCATTGCACTAGGCTTTTGCATAGATGTGTTCAACTTAAGAATATATTAAAAAAAAAAAAAAAAAAAAAAAAATTCCCAAAAGTTAGAAGTTAGAAGTAGGAATTGTGCCAAAGATAAGTCTTACAATGCCTTTTGGACAATACCAAAAAGAAATTTTTCCTTCAACTTTAAATTTTACAATCTCCCACATGCAATGACCTTACCACCTAAGATTTGGTAGACTCATTCTAATATTAGTTAGGAATAAGATCTTATAATTGAAAGTATTAAAGATGCCAAAAAAATCTTTGAAAATCATTTTTTTAAAAGGTTTTTTTTTTTTTTTTTTTTTTTTTGGCAGTTTTGGAGTTTAAAAGGCAACTTAAGAAACTTTAGGAGTTAAATAAGTACAATCAATTTTATTACAACAACCTTCTAATTTTATTATTATTAGTATAATCATTTTTTTGTTTATATCATTGCAAGTTTTTTTTTTTTATATATACATCCATTGAATGTTAATCATTGTTATATTTTATCAATATATTATATTATATTTTTAGTTTTATTAATTTAAAAAATTAATGTTGGATTATTTAATTTTATTTAATTTTATTGCTATATTGCATGTTTTTTTTATAACTTTTCAAGAATAATAATATAAATTATATAAATTTGAGCTTATAAGAGCAATGATTTAAAAGAAATTAAATAATTTACATTATTTTGTAATTTCATTAAGATATCTTATACATATATATATATATATATATATATATATATTGATTATAACAGCAATGCTGATTTTTTATTTTATATAAGCAAGTTTATTATTATTAAGAATATATATTTTTTTAAAGGTACATTTTACTATTGTTTAATAGTACAAATTATATCTTGAAACTATGAAGGAGAAATATTTATACATAAATTGTAATCACAAGAACTATGTTAGATATGAAAGATAAGGTTACATTACACAATTGCTAATTTTTTAGCCTTTTTTTTGGAAAACTATTCATGAACAAATTGGATTTACTTTCTTTTAAACTACGTTTTGTCAAAGACATGAATCTCAAAGAAAGAAAATTCAATATACTCTTGTGTAATTTGAAGAGATTACAAAGTCACTTAAAGATGGTAATGTATTGAATCAGAATGGCTATTGCCAAAAATAAGAAGACTAGAAAGTCTTAAAACAAGACTATGAATTAGAAATGCACTGACAAGAGTAAAAAAGGCTTCTTTCTTGCTTCTATATATACTCTCTAACTAGGAGCTATGTGGTGATATTCTATTAGACCTCTAATATGTTGACTTTGCTTAACACATGTCTTAACTTGCAAGCCAAGCTAATTATAAGTGCACCACATAATTAACTTAATTCATAAGCTACTAATATGTGTAACATGTGGTTAACTTCTTAACCAAGTTTCTAGCCTATCAATCAATCACAAACATGTGTAAAATCAATACTGCCTCTACAAAGCTTTTATAAAGCTTTTTTAGAAGATATTATGAAATTAATCTATTTTTATCTAATTCTCAATAATCATATAGATAATTATTGGAATAAATATATATATATATCTATGACACTTTTTAAATTAAAGCATAGAGTTCTAAAATATGCAAAAATAAAGAAATTTATCCTTTCCATAAAATATTTTATTTGATTTTGAATCAAACACTAAAGATAATATTCAATAATCTAAATTAAATTAGATAGCTTATCTTCACTCCATTTATAAAAATTACTTCCTATTAAGATAATTTTTTTACATACAATGTTTTTGTTATCAATATCTTCTATTAAAAATTTATTATATTGTGTGGGCATATGTATATATATATTTATTGGTTTATAATACGTAGCTTCAAATTTAATATTTTAATCTTCAATTCCAACTTTCTAGCTTTGAATTCATTGAAATGTTTAGAATATGTAATTTTATATACTTAAAATTCAATAAAAATTAGTTGTTAAATTTGATGTGATTTCAGAAATAGGCAAATCAATTTAAATATAATACTTTAGAAGATATAATAGGCTAGGCTACATTAACCTTTATTAAAATAATAAAAAAAACCATCAATTTTTTTTATCATGTATAATTGCTCTAAATATAATTTCAAAAAAATTGTTCCAATTTTTTTGTTTAAAAACTATCTTAATATATCTTTATTGTTAATTGACTATCAGGTTTTTTTTGATATTTTCTATAATATATTTAAATGTATATGAAAATTTATGAAAATAAAATTTTGTACGTAAATACCAATAATTTAGAAATTATATTTAATTAATACTATTATTCGGCTTAAATAATAAAAATTTAGGAATATTGTGTGAAATATCAAAAGTCAAAACATCTCTCTTTTTCTCTCTCTATATATAAAATTTAATTTTTAATTTTTAATTTTTATATTTATATAGTATATTTTATAAAATATTAATAATAAGTTTATTTATTAGTTATATATAAAATATTAAAAAATATAGTAATTTATAGTGAAGTATTTTAATATCAAATTACTACATTAATTTTAATATTGCCATCAACATTGAGTTTTTTAGCAAGAGTTCATACTCTGCGAAGTAATCATTACTTTAATTTTGATTACATCAAATTAATTCAAAGCAACATCCATTTTTTGGATTGTGCTCTAATATGTTTATATGTATGTGCATGTATATATATATATATATATATATATCTTTGAAATTTACACATATAAATACTTTGGCATATTCAATGACAGGGTTAAAATTTGAAACATATACCTTTAGAGCAAGCAAGTGGATGAAAGTTATGTATCAATTTTTCAAACACTGCGATGAAAAGTTAAAAATGTAAAAATATATTTAAAACTCAAGTATGGGATTTGCATAGCAATGTCCATAATTAGATCAAATTTTAGATATATTTTTTTGCTTATGCATCATATTACATGTAAGTCTATAGATTAAAATTGTATTCATGTTAGACTTACTTTAAGAGATAAAAAATATTTCATTTGAAGAAAAAAGTCAAATATTTCAATCATAAATGACACAATATTATTTGTGTATGTCATTACAATAAGCAAATTGAAACTTAAGGTTTTTGGATGATACTTCATCTGTAATGATATTTCAAAGTATCACATGATATTTCAAAATATTACTTAATTTTGAAATTAACATATCATAAGAATGATGTATATAATATCACAAATCATGTGACTCACATCAATTCTTTGCACCAATTGATTCTGTACTACACCACAACATTCAATTCTCTAGTCTTTGCACTTCCAAAAATTTGAAATCCTAAATTTCTTTCATTTTATACTACATTGTAACCTTTTCTCTTAACTTTGCTCCAAAAATGATAATTCTAAATTTTTTGAATTATATACTATATTACAACCTCACAATGTCTCGATGCTTCAAAAAAAAAATAACAAATCCTTTGTGACTTAGAAATATTTATTAATAAAATATTTGAAGAACAATGCAATAAAATTAAAAATAATTTGAAGAAAACTACTTCAAATTTGAAGAT